TTTTTTTTTTTTTTTTATGTCTGTTGCCACTTTTTCTCAGCTTTCACTGGACCGATTTCTTTCAACAATGCGCCAAAAGATCACTATCTAGTCGAAGATATTTTCTTATTTTTTTTACTTAAAACTGCCACAACTTTTCTAAAAATAAACAATTATATATAACTCTTTTTTTTATAGATGATTGATGTCTTTACCTATTATTTGGTATAATTTTTTTATAAATTTAATCCTTTACCAAGCCACAGGGGGGATTCAAAATGACAACTTTTTCAACTTAACTTTGAAAGTGTTCTGGAAATACTGACACTTTTATATATATCTTAAATTAAAGCTAATGTAATATACTTTATTATGGAAAAAAAAAATTTCGGACTTTATTTTGTCTTCACGGTGAAAATGGCTACCGTATGCTATTTTTGTGTTAAAATTCTCGATTTACATTTTACATTTTTAACTTTAAAATGTTATAAATCTTTGAAAAATGTATGGATCAATACAATTTTTTCATGAGAAATAATATTTATATACTTCTTTCATTCGACATATTTTTTTTTTAAATCGGACCATTTCCCTTAATACAGAGGGGGTTTAAAACATAAAAATGCATATAGAAAGTAGAACTTTTTCAACTTAATTTTTGAAAGTGTTCCGGAAATACTGACATTTTTATATATATCTTAAATTAAAGCTAATGTAATATACTTTATTATGGAAAAAAAAAATTTTGGAATTTCTTTTGTCTTCATGGTGAAAATAGCTACCGTATTCAAAAATGTGCTATTTTTGTGTTAAAATTCTTGGTTTTGTTTTTTATTTTATTATAAGGGGATTACACTGATTTTCATAAATATTATATCAATCTAATTGACACAGTATACTAAATTAAACATATTAAAATTTTTTTATTTCTTTGAAGTCGAGAAAAATAACTTTAAAATTTGAACTAGCTAAATTTCCATTTTTATTAAGTGACGAATGAAAAGTACGGTTTCTGAGACGGTAACACTTGGGTCTTGTGTCTGTAGCACTGAATTTTTTCTTAATTCTTTTTGAGTTAGAATAAAATGTTTAACTCATTTGATTTTTATCTCATTTAGATTCAATAACTTCAATAAATATAAAGGATCCCATTACTGTAGTCTCCTCTCATGAGAAGAAATTCATTATAAATATTATTTTACTATGTGGTTTTTCTTTGTAGCTATTATTTATTTCTCAGCTTTCACTTGACCTACTTTTTTGACAAATTTTTTTTTTTAAATTAAACACTATCTACAGATTTGCATCGAAGCGTTTTTTATGATAGTGATTTTAATCACTGTCAGATATCATTTATACTGGACCCAACTATGCCACGACCCCACTGTGCCGCGACCCCCCTGTGCTGGGTTTTTTTTTCTTAAAACTCCCATAACTTTTTTAACAATTGACCCTACACCTTATCTTCTATGTGCAAATGGCTGCTGAAATTCAACAAAAAATGTAATGTTTGCGAAAAAAATGACCTTCTATCTGGATGTTTTTTGTACTTAAAACTACCATAACTTATTGAAATATTAACAAATCAACATAATATTATTTTGTATTAAAACCATAGATATTTCCCTTTCATTTGATAAAATTGTTTTGAAGATTTGACACTTAACTTGCTCAGAAGGGGGGGATTTAAGAAGTTTTAAGAAAAAAAAAGTAAAAAAAATTTGTAATTTTTTTGGAGATTAACGGGAAACGAGGGAATTTTTTTCAATTTTTGAAGTAATGTCTTCAACTAAATACGATTTGTGATCTTTTGACATATTGTTCATCATAATTGATCCAGTGAGAGCTTAAAAACGTGACAACAGACACACACAAAAAAAACACACTATGGTTAAATTAATACATCCTTAGCTTCGCATTAGAGTTATAACTATAATGAAATATAAAATAGTCATTTTTAAAATAAATAAACCCAAACAGAAAGCATGATGTTATACCAATACTAATATAGTGTGTCATCTGAAATAGAAATGTGTGACAAAATTTCATTAAATGAATTCTGTTTTGATTGTAGTTATAGCAAAAAACATATTTTTTTTGTCTATTTTCTGAAGTAATAGGTCCTGATAAATATTATTGCTATTATTCATGATTTTTTTAAATAACGATCTTTAAAATATCATTCATATTGGATATTGTTCCATGATGAATTTATCCGTATAGTTCAATTTCTCATATTAATATTGATATATAAATTTATTATTAACCAATTTTCGAAAAATTATAATTATTTTAGCTTAATCCTTCATTGACAAGCCTTTAAAATCCAGTTTATTATTAAAAAATTAATTATTTATATAATTAAATATTTTTATAATTATTATATTCATTGTTAAAAACCCAGCACAGTGGGGTCGTGGCATAGTTGTTCCAGTATAGATGATATCTGACAGTGATTAAAATCACTATCATAAAAAACGCTTCGATGCAAATCTGTAGATAGTGTTTAATTTAAAAAAAAAAATTTGTTAAAATAGCATATTTTTGAATACGGTAGCCATTTGCACATAGAAGATAGGTCATCGGGACAAATTTTTTTATTTTATTTTATAGTACATAAAATAAGCTTTAATTTGATATATGTTTAAAGGACGCAGTATTTCCGGAACATTTTCAAAAATTAAGTTGAATAAGTTAATTTTTGTAAAAAAGTTAATATTTTAAATTCCCCCTAATGAGCAGGTTAAGTGTTAAATTCTCAAAAAAATGATATCAAATAAAAGGAAAATATCTAAGGTTTTAGTATAAAAAAAAAATATTATGTTGATTTGTTTATTTTTGAAAAAGTTATGGAAATTTTAAGAAAAAAAAGTGAAAAAATTTCGAAAATTAGCGATTTTTAAATTTGTAATTTTTTTGCATATTTCCCCCATTTGCAGGGAACGAGGGAATTTTTTTAAATTTTTAAGAGTAATGTCTTCAACTAGATACGATTTGTGATCTTTTGGCGCATTGTTGAAAGAAATCAGTCCAGTGAGAGCTAAGAAAAAGTAATGACAGACACATAAAAAAAAAAAAAAATAAACACCTCATGGTAAAATTAATACCTTCTCAGCTTCGCATCGAAGCTAAAAGCATAGTTGGGTCCAGTATAGATTTAATCTGACAATGATTAAAATCACTATTATAAGAAACGTTTTG